GCGCCGGATGTTGGAGAAGCAGAGCGGAGCCGGAGATCATTAGCCGCCTCTTTTGCAGCACAAGAAGAACAGGGTGGTGCCGGACCATTGGAGAAGCGGAGCAAAGCCGGAGATTAGTAGCTGCCTCTTTCGGCGCAGAAAGCTTCCCCCAACCAGCCGGCTGGTCTCCTCCTTCTCTGCCTGTTTGTTCTGTATGGCCGAGGAGGAGGAGACCAGCTGAGAAGCACGCTGCCAGGCGGGGGCCACGCGGTGCAGGGCAATACGCCACCGCCCAGCCCTGGCTTGGGAAAGCAGTGGGCGTTCCCCGGGCGGTGGCCTTGGCCCCGCTAACAGGGAAGCAGCTGCCCAGCTCCGTGTTGTGTGTGCAATTTTTTGGCGCGCGGCGCGGGGTCTCTTGGCCGGCCCCAATTTTTTTTTTCAGAGGGGAATATTTTTTTTTCAGAGGCGGGCCGTATTAAAATGACCAACGGGCCGGATGTGTCCCGCGGGCCGTAGTTTGCCCACCCCTGCCTTAAGGCATCTCCTCCAACAAAGTCTTAGCATACAAATATTTTTTTTTAGTCCTCTCTTTTCCCACTCATCGCTTAAAGCCAGTTTTCACCTAAAAAAAAATAGATTTCTTAATATTCACTTTTTATTCCGTAGAAAAAGAGGGTAAGCTATCCTTTCAGCACCATTAAACTGCCGCTTTTTTCCTCTTCTCGAAGGTATCATTCAGAAAGTCATACTTTTCAGGAATTTTGTTAAATATGTCTTAGAGTCCTAGGAGCCAAGAAAAACTTTCTCCTTTCAAGCACTTTCTCCACTTCCTCCTGCACATTCTTACCCGGCTGCCAGCTTCTTTGTGGCGGCCATTACGGACCGCCGCTGCACCGTCCTGGGAAAAGGGGGTTCTGCCGGCCGGGGAGGGGGTCTGCAAAAACCCCAAACCCTTCTCCGGATCCCCCCTACCTTCAGCTGCCCCTGCAGGGCAGCCTAGCTCCGTACCCGTCTGGGTCGGAGCCCCAAAAACGGCTAGCGCGGCAGGGATCGCGCAGCTTCGCAAATCCCTGCCGCTCGCGAAGCCGACAAACCGGAAGTCCTCCGTGAGCCTCTCTTTTCTTGGAGTTTTTTCCTTTTGGAGTTAGGTTTTAAATAGAAAAGAATCCTCTTTCCCAATTCCAAACACTGTTCACTTAACTCCGCTCCAGTACCAGTCTTAGCTGTTCCTCAGCTGCCCCAGCTTTGTGGCACCCATTTTTAGGCTGCCTCTTCTCCTTGTCGTGTCTGAGAGGGGGAAAAAACCCCGGGTCCAGAGAGTTACAACTCTCTGTGGTCTCACAGGGCACCCATCCTTGCTTTGCCACCCTTACAGGATGGCTTTGGCTCCTTTTGGAGCCCACCAACGTTCACAGAAAACCCCACACAGAGACCAATATTTACATTTTGATTCCCACCACCCACTGGAGCACAAAACGGGAGTCATCAGAACCCTACATCACTGAGCTGAGAGTCTGCCAACCAGCAAAAAATGGGAAAGAAAAAGAATGAAAACACACCAAGAAAGCACTCAGAACACGTGGCTATTCCAAGTGGGTCTTCATCAAATCTCAAAAAAGACCCTACAGGAGTTTCTCCATAACAGATAACGAAAACAATAAACAAAGCAATGTTGTCATTCCATACGTTGCAGGCATATCGGAAAAGCTCAGGAGGATCTTCAACAAGATAACGTACATGTACACTTCAACCCCAAGAATACACTAAGGCAGAAGCTTGGCCATACCAAAAATAAAACATTCAGACATAAACTGAGCAATATGGTATATGAGAACCCAAATTGTTGGGGCAATATGCTGACTGTGTAAACCGCTTAGAGAGGGCTGTAAAAGTACTATAAAGCGGTATATAAGTCTAAGTGCTATTGCTATTGGTTTATGCAGTACAATGCAGTGAGCCATGTGCAGATCTGTACATTGGGAAAACAAAACAACCACTTCATAAGCGCATGGTGTTGAGGTAATTCCCCGTTAGAATGAGCGCATACAGGGAGACGTATTTTGAGAGAAGTATTTGAATAATACACACACAGCACACAGATACACTGTACAGTAAATGTAGGTTTTTACTTTCAGAAAGGTTTAAGCAAAGTCCAAAATAAGCAATCCAAAGTCATTCACAAGTTAAATCAGTCAGTTTTCATCCAGGGATAATCCAAATATCAAATTCCAGTGTCAAAAACAGTTCAGTATCAGACTTACATTAAATTCATGAATATCAGTCAATTAGGAAAAATGGAGCAACAGCAATACTTTCCAACAGAAGGAAACAGAGACGGAGACATACTCTCTTCTGAGATTAAGACTAAGACAATCCAAGTTTCTGGCTCCATCTTATGGCTGCTTGAAAAACCACACCCAATTGCAGTTTTTGCAATCTCTTAAAGACATAGTACTAAAAAGTTTATCCTGGTTTATATATTTCTAACCCAAATACCTGTTAGGTGACTTATATTACTAACACATGGCACAACATAGGAGAACAAACATATCAGGACTAGATTCAGCAGTTCATCTGCATTTAAAAGACACAAGCCACTTGTGTGAAGAGAGCAAAGTTCACATTTTGGACAAAGACCGCTGGTTCTTGGTTCCAAACCAAACCAACAAAAGAAGAGGCCACATTGTGAGCAGAACAGGTCTCTTTACTGGAGTCTCAGCTTGGCACGTGGTAAACAATACAAGTAAAAGGGTTTCTAGCCAGCATTACTGGCTTCTGCTAGCCAGCTGGCTATATGGACTTGGCACGCTTCACCCTCCTGTTCCTAGTTGTTCCTGGCTGGCTCTCGCAAGTACTTTTTTGGCCTGGCTCCAGCAAGCATTCTTAGAGCCCAGTTGCTCTCTGGCTGGTTCCAGCAAGCACTCTTCAGGCCTGGATGGCTTCTGAATTGACTGCGATGGCTTGCCTTCCTGGCTCCTTTCCCAGTGTAAGTCCCATCACCTGACACCTATCTGAGGCCCCATGCATCCCCTCCCCCTGTGCATGTGTGGCAACTCTGAAATGGCACATTATGGCCACTTTCAACAGCACGCTGTCTCGGATGTTGACAGAGGGGTCAAAGAGGCCATCTATGTCAAAATTGAATAGCCTTCTCTCAGCAGAGGGAGAGGGATATGACATCATCTGTCTCCAATCTACAACACTCCTTTCAACAGTTCCTAGATGGCTCCACATCCATTTGCACCACTCAGGTAAACCTGATGACACAGATGACCTTAACAACATGCTAAAATCTCCAGGTGACCTTAACAACATGCTAAAAGAATGCAAATGTCCAGCTGCCTGGAAAGAGTATAAATCCTTCCATTCCCCACCATCCACTCAAAACTGAAGAAGTTTCTTGGATGAGAAGAAAAACCAGAAAGTCCAATTGCCTCTTGAAAAAGCATCTTTGGGATAAGCTCTGGGAGAGAAATGAAAAACAGGAAATGTCTCCCATGTGTTGGGAAGTGTGTTGTCTAGATGTTTACGTAAATCCTGACACTTGCCTTTTTTTCCCCTCAAAAGCTATTCATGATTCTTATGCAATGCTGTTTTACAAATGAAATATCTACTGTACAATTTTTTTCCTATATTTCCCAAGGGGGGAACCACAAAAGTATCAGTCCCTTGGTGCTGCTCTCACACCCCCGCCAGCAAAGACTAACAAGAAGGCAGGCACCTCCAAACGAAGATCACAACAGGAGTTGCAAATAAACCTGGAGACTCTGTGCTCAGAAACACAATGTAAGGACTTGTGTCTCCTCTCGCTTCAAGAAAGCAGAACTCTTATTTTATAATATTCTTTTTCTTCTTGCTCTCTAATGGCAAATGTCAATGGGATTTATTTTATCAATGGTTAGACAAGAAGATAGGGAAATATAACATAATATAAATATAATAGTTAAGATAATATAATGTAATGATATGCTATAAGTGATTACTATAGAAATAATTATGTTATTTTATACCAGATTATATGGGAATGAACGATACTATAAACTAGGCTTTATAGTAGTTGATTCTTCCTCAAAAAGGATGAGGTGAATTTGAAATTAGTCTGATAATGATTTGGTAACAATATGATACTAAGTGAATAATAGTTATATATAATATGAATTGTAATATAAAAACAGAATGGAATGACTATTGATACTATGCACATGAGATACGTACCAACCGACACACTGTATAATGGAAATATTTTATTTAATGTTGTATGTTTTGTTTGTTTATGTTTGTTGTTTAAAATTTTAAAAAAATATAAAAAAGAAAAAGAAAAGAAGGCAAAACTTTTGAAGCAGGAGGGATTTCAAAAAGAAACTTTTATTGAGACAATGATAGCAAGTAGAGCAAGTAAGATCTGAAGTTCCTACTCAAAACCATTAGGTTAAAATTTGTAGAAACCCCTCCTCTCTGCCCAGTCTAAGGCAAGCCAATCCACAGGTACAAAGTTGTTGTGAGAACTCAAGAGTTGAGAAGGTGGTAAGAAATTGTTCTCAGGCACAGCTTGCTCATTCTGTTGGAGCTGAGATAAAACAGATGGCCACAGGCAATTCCTTCCCCTTCCCATGAAAGTACATCAAAGTTGAGAAAAGAACAGAAACGCAAAAAGGTCATAAAATGGCATTCAGGCCCTCCCCGCCAAAATGGCAGAGTTCCAATAGGAATCTATGGGCACCTGACACATAATCTCTTTTCTCCTCGACTCAATATTCCTACAGCTCTTCTCCATGAAGGTCACCTGAAGGGCATTAACAACCTTTACATCTGAAATTTTACACTGCTTTTGTCACTGCACCAAACACCCCCAATATATTTGCTATTCATGTGGTTTCTTCCATGTTCTTGCCTCATTCTTGACACAATCTGAGCAGACACGCTTGTGGTGCAATGAATTTCTGGAATTGTTAGGAAAGAATAAATGTTGATCCCAATGCAATTGTTAGGAAAAGATAAACAATTTCTCTTCTCCTCTTGTTTTCTCCTTATATGAGGAGCCACAATCTCTAACTACAGCTTGAGTGCTCTTATCCCGAAGAGATACTGATTGGGGAATTTGGGGATGAAAATATCGAGGATACCCAGGGAGAAGGCGGGGACCCTGCATGTGGCATTTCTATAATTTATTAGGATAAAAATGGAAAAAACATTCCTAAAAATATTTTTTCAGATTTGCACAATTTCTGCAAAAATCAATATTCAGCAACTTCTGCTGCTGATGGCCAAACAGTCCTTATCAAATTAACATGTTCCAATTTTTCTCTTTCCTCCTTCCCATCTAATAGTATGACATATTTGATGATCAAAAATCAGGCAAATTCTTTGTAGTCAAATTAAAGAGTCAATTTATCAGTTGAACTTACAATGGGACATTTCAAATGAAATTCAAGCCACTCATTACTTTGATCCACATATGGATTTTCCTGTGTGTGATAAGGTTGCAAGGTTTCCTAAAGCATTGTTCACACTCAGGGCACTTAAATGGTTACTCCCCTTGTATATAAGCATATTATTTAGAAGGCTATCCTTAGTACTAAAATCTTTCCGACAGTCTGGACACTCATATGGTTTCTCTCCTGTGTGAGTCCTTTGGTGAATCACCAGGCTGCAATTCTCACTGAAACTTTTCCCACAGATAATATATTCAAAGGGTTTCTCTCCAGCGTGAGTACTCGGGTGTATTAATAGGTAGGAATTCCAACTGAAACTTTTCCAATGATCAGGACATTCAAAAGGGTTTCTCTCCTGTGTGAGTCTTCTGGTGTCTCATAAGGTGGGAATTCTGACTAAAACGTTTTCCACAGTCTGGACATTCAAAGGGTTTCTCTCCTGTGTGAATCCTCTGGTGTATTACCAGGTGGGAATTCTCACTGAAACTTTTCCCGCAGATAGGACATTCAAAGGGTTTGTCTCCTGTGTGTGTCCTCTGGTGTCTTATGAGGTTGGAATTTCGAATGAAACTTTTCCCACAGTCAGGACATTCAAAGGGTTTCTCTCCTGTGTGAGTCCTCTGGTGTATTACCAGGCTGGAATTATCAATGAAACTTTTTCCACAGATAGGACATTCAAAGGGTTTCTCTCCGGTGTGAGTCCTCTGGTGTATTATCAGGTAGGAATTCTGACTGAAATTTTTCCCACAGATAGGACATTCAATGGGTTTCTCTCCTGTGTGAGTCCTCTTGTGTCTCATGAGGTCAGAATTCTGACTAAAACCTTTTCTACAATCAGGACATTCAAACAGTTTCTCTCCTGTATGAGTACTCTGGTGTCTCATGAGGTGGGAATTCTGACCAAAACCTTTTCCACAGATAGGACATTCAAACAGTTTCTCTCCTGTGTGAGTCCTCTGGTGTATTACCAGGTAGGAATTCCGACTGAAACTTTTCCCACAGATAGAACATTCAAAGTGTTTCTCTCCTGTGTGAGTTCTCTGGTGACTCACCAGGTTGGAATTCTGACTGAAACTTTTCCCACATATAGGACATTCAAAGGGTTTCTCTCCTGTGTGAGTCCTCTGGTGTATAATAAAATGGGAATTTATAATAAAACCTTTTCCACAATCTCGACATTTATAGGGTTTCTCCATGGAGTTAATCCTCTGATGTATTACCAGGCTGGAATTTTGACTGGAACTTCTTCTATGGTCAGGAAAGGGATTTTCTCCTTTGAGATTCTTCTGGTATATCACCAAATTGGAATTACAACTGCAAGTTTTCCCCCAATCAGGATGTTCAAAGAATTTTTCTCCTATGCGAGTCCTCTAGTGTATCACAAGGCTAGAATTCTGACTGAAACTTTTCCCACAGAAAGGACATTTAAATTATTTTTTTCCTGTGTGAATCTCTGGTGTCTGAAATGGAAATTTCTAGTGAAGCTATTCCCACAATCGAGACACTCATACAGTCAATCCACTGATGTATCACAGGACTGGAATTGTGACTGAAACTTTTTCCACTCAGGACATTCAAAGGGTTTCACTCCTTTGGGAGTCCTTGAATGCTTCACCAGGCTGGAATTCTCACGGAAACTTTTCCCACAAAAAGGATATTCAAATGGTTATTTTCCTGTGTGTGTCCTTTAAGTGTCTCATGACTTGGGAACTTCTAATGAAACTTTCACACAATCTGCACAGTGATACGCTTCCTCCCTGCTGTGAGTCCACTGATGTATCACCATGTTGCCATGCTCACTAAAGCATTTACTACATTGGGAGCACATTTATGGCTTTCCTCTTGTGTGGTTGCTTCCATGAACCACAAAGGAGGTGTTTTGACCAGTTTTTGCTATATTGAGATAATTTGTATGGCTTTTCTCCTGTCTGGCTTCTCTTCTGCATAATCAGCTGTGATTTGCAATCTGTGCTTTTCTCACAATAGGCAAATCTATGGAGCTTTTCCACAGCTGATATTCTTGAGGCCAAAAATATGGAGGTCAAAAATGCTTTGTTTAGTGATGTTTTCATTCATGCTTTTTTCTTCCTCACAGGTTGTGGCCTGCATTCCTGTCTATTCTACGTGGCTTTACTATTGACGGTTTCCGCCCCACTGACTTCCAGATATTTCCCTCTTTTGCTGAATGAAAAATAATCTCCCTTGACTTCATGTAATATATCCTTGAGTTCTGCATAATCTGCTTATTCCTGCTTGAAATCTTTCTTGATTTTCTCTCTGTTGTCTAATAGTTGTTTGAGGAGGATGAGAATTGTGTGTTTTTATGAAGGAAAAGGAAAATATTTTGATTTCTAGCTCGATTTTCTTCCCTTTTCAACGTTGCTTGTTGTTTAGTTGTCCCAGGTGCTCTTATTGTCATCCTCTTTGTCTGTAAGATTCAAAGAAAAGTGTAACTTTAATTGTTTATAAAATGGTTAGAGATGATGTAAAAAAAGCAAAAAGTATACAAGGAAAAAGCAAACACGCCCCAATGCTGCCATGTTTTCCCGAAAACAAGACCCACCCTGAAAATAAGCCCCAGCCTAATTTTTGGAGTGGGCCTAATATAAGCCCTACCCCAGAAATAAGCCTGGGAGTATGGGTGTTGCCAGCATGAGGGGTGGCGAACATGCGGGGAGGACGGGGGGACGGTGTCTGGCTGCAGCTGAAGCCTGCCAGCGCCTTGGGCAGTGTAACAACTACTAATTCCAAGTGTGGAGACATGTGCTGTGTCTCCTTTGTAGAAGGGAGGGAGGAAAAAAAAGGCCTGTTCTGACTGCAGTGTTGCAGCAGAGCACGGAATGGTAGAACATAAAGCCGCTTCATTCCTGTGCATGTTTCTTCACTTTTCACTAAGTGTAAACCTGTGTGTCTGTCTGTTTGTGTAGCGGAGGGCCAGGTGGGAGGGCGGTAAGGGCTCTGCGTGGAAAGGGGAGTGAGAGCAAAGGTGTGGAACTATGCATTAACCCAGTGGGCGGTGGGAAAGGTTTCTTGGGCACCACACACAACTCTATCCTCCGCCTTCCTCGCTAGGTTCCACTGCTGAGGGGCGATGGAGTAACCCGCACACAGCTGGCAGCATGACTTTTCCCCATCTCTTTCTGGATGCGACACTTCTGCTTGTTGGGCTGCTAACCGAAGCTGGCAGCTCCACAGCCAGCTGCTTTGCTTTTTCCCTCTTTTTCCTCATGGGACACTCCCAAGAGGCTTGCACGGTGGCACCAGCAGTAGGCAAAGGCAGAAACATGGGGGAGGCAGAGGCGATTCCAACACGCTGCCCATTCTGTCCCACCGTCTCTTGTCTTATGTGGCCTCTTGTCTGTGATTGTGCCGAACAAGCACCAGCATAAGGTGTCTGAATCGCGTGCCTACCTCATGCCTCTATCTACTACTGTTGCTGCCACGCAAGCCTCCTGTAAGCCAGGCATCTTTATAGCTTGTCCAGATTGCCTGTCTTCCCCCACCCCACCTTTCACTCCACACTCAGAATTAAAGATATTTGTACTGTGTCAAGAAGGCCGAGACATGCTGAGAGCTTGGCACGTTGCAGCCACGGAAAATAGACAGTGCGATGGAAAGGGCGGGGCTAGTGATAGTGCTTAAAAAAAAAGATTTCCCCAAAAATAAGCCCGAGTGTTTATTTTCAAGCCCCCCCCCCAAATATTATTTTTTTGTCTTATTTTCAGGAAACATGGTAAAATCGTCTCTTACCTTATTTATGATTCATTTGACACATGGAAGACTACTGAGATCCATGCTCAAATAACCTTTCAATCAAATTCAGTTGATTAGTTGGGTCAATCACAAGTTCTTAGCAATGCAAAGGAGTATCAACAATTATATATTGAAGTGCTGGAGACAGATTGTAGACATATCCCTACTGAAATACAGATATACCAAACTACATGCGTATTCATGTGACAATCTATCTCTTTCAAAGTTGACAATATGTCCCAAAATGGTTGCTTAAACCTTCTGAGCTAAATTTAGAGATGTGGGGGCTTTAACTGATACAATGGTTGCCAAAAGCCTCTGCAAGATTTGAAGCACCACTTTTGTTCATGGAAATCCTCAGCAGCAAATAAGAGCAGAAAAACACTGTCCACAAGTACTCTGGTGACATCCCCCCTCAAGTAGTCCACACTTAACCTACTGCAATTAGAACTGATATCTGTGTTACTAAGCAGCCCAATCATTAAACAATGACTTGATTCAGAAATCTAATGCAGTTCCAATCTTAAAAAAAAAGGGGGGGGGTGTATTTACAAAAACACAGACCAACCAGACTGACATCAATGCCTGAGAAGATCCTGAAAAAGATAACCAAGCAATGGATCTACAAACACCAGGAATCAAGGAAACTTATGATCAGAAGCTAACATGGGTTTGTTGAAAAAAGATCATGCCAAACAAATCTTATTTCATTCTTTGAGAATCAAGATCACATGAAATATAAGTACCAATTTATAATGGTTTGGTAGGATCCCACTTGGAATACTGCAACCAGTTTTGATTGCCACAATATTAAGAAGAAGAAAAAAGAGAAGAGCAGCAAGGATGATGAGAGGGGCTGGAGGCTAAACTGTATATAGAAGGGTTGCAGGAATTGGGTATGTCTAGTCTAGTGAAAGAAAGAACTAGGGGTAATATGATAGCAGTTTTCCAATACTTGAGGGGTCAAGAAGAAGGGAGTCAACTTATTTTGCAACGCAGCAGAAGGCAACATAAGAAGCAGTGGATGGAAACTAATCAAGGAGAGAAGCAGCCTAGAACTAGAGAGAAATTTCTTGACTCTGAGAACAATTAACCAGTGGGAGGGTTTGGTGGCTTTTAAACACACGGGACAGACATTTGTCTGAAATATGACTGGGTCTCCTGCTTGAGCAGGTTCCTTCCAACCCTGTCACAAACCTCCAGTGACGGAGCCCCTAAACAACCTCTGGAGGGGAGCCATTCCCAAAGGATCCACCGTCACCTGAAAGAGGCTTTTGAGATCTTCCCCCTCCAGCAGAAAATTGCAGCCACCAGTTTCACAGCGTGCAGCCCCAGCGGGCTCCGATCTGGGGAGGGAAGGAACCTGCAGGAGCAGCAGCTGACACGCTTCAGCCCAGTTGCTTCTCTGCTTCCAGGCCGTGGAGGGAACCGAGCAGCCCGACTTGCTCCCGGACTCCCCTCCCACCTGCTGCCCCCAACTCACCTTCCAGCTGCTGCTTCGACCCTGGGAAAAGCAGAAAAGACACTCGGCCGACCACCTACCGCCCCTGAATGATCAAGCCGAGGAAGATCTTCTACGCTTCTTCCTCCCATCCTTTCTAGCAATATGGTACTCGATGGTTTTAACTCTTTTATTATATAATGTGCACTTTTCGGGCACAGTTGTTGTCTACCTGATCGCCGTCTCCACATAAGAGGCAGAAAAACATGCATTTTATCTCTATTACATAAGGCAAGTTGTTTTCATTATTTAAATGCTATCAAATCGTTTTTGACTACTAACAACCGACCTTTGCAACTGAACCAAGTGAAATGTGAGGCTACTTAGCTTTCGCAGATTAGCTTCGTGCTGAGCCCTAAAAGTTCATGAAGGTTTTACAGAATTATGCAATCAGGTTTTCTTAGGGGTAACTGACTCAAAGTGATCAAAACCTCTCTACATCCCAAAACTTTATGACTGATTTCCTCTGGCTCCCAAGGATTTAGGGCATACCTTTTCTTGTATCTGTCATAACTGCAGGTTTTATCACATTATATTATTCCTTTCATTATTCAATAAAGTTCATCTTGATTTATATTATCATCCCCTTTCATTGTTAATTCAATCTTGCCACCCATTTACCTTATACATTTTTCCCATTTTATTCCCTTTAACCCATTATAAAAATTAATAATATAGCCATTTTTTAATTATCACATTCTACATTAACAACAATAACCCCCTATCTACTATGTATCATATCTTTTATTTCTTAAAGAAAGGACCTTGTGAAACAACTCTGTTAAAATGCTGTCCAACCATAAATTGGAGGGGCATCAAGATATTTAAATTTGTACTGGAACAGTGGAGGTTGTGTAGAGTCAGAACACACCATTACAACTGATTGATTAAAGAGAGTTGGCTACTGCATGAGGCAATCTATGCTGTGATTGGTTGCCGTGAAAAGGGGGAGTTTCCTTGTTTCCCGCCTTTTTGCTCTGTGTGCTCATTGTTTTACCTGATGATGGTCCTGCTGTGTTGATTTTACCTCCCAGCTGCACAATTCCCTGATACAAATGTCTTCCTTGTACCTTCTCCCACCTTCTTATGCTCCTGTGAATTAGAGAGGTTTTTCTCTGAGTCTCTTCCATAAGAATTAGCTGTAATGTGTTCGTCCAAATGGGATTATTCCCTTCATCACTGGAGGCTTTTAAGAAGAGACTGGACAGTCACTTGTCTGAAATGGTATAAGGTTGGACTAGGAGACCTCCAAGGTCCATTCCAGATCTATTCTATTCTGATGATATTGGCTCTGAGCTCTGTTGTGTGAAGGAATCTGGGATAAAATAACCCCAAAATTTTATTGATTCCCTTTTCATTCAGGAACTCATGATAGCATAGGAAGCATTTCCTGGGTAACATGCTGTAATTTACAGGATAAACATCCCCCAGACAGCCTACCTACATACTTTTTGCCTCTCAATATTCCATAGCTCATAGAAGGTGTCTTTTATCAGCTTTGGAAGCCATATTGAGATTCAGTGCAGCTCCCATGCTGCATTGGATTTAATTGAGTAGCTCTAAGTAGACAAAATAAAATTATTCAGTTAGTTCAAGATCATTGAGTATGGCACAGAATGAAATAAGGATCTTACTTTAGGAGGGATCATGATTGGGGCATGTGATGACATGACAGCAGGGGGGATGGATTTGTAGTTTTGAATATTGCAAGGAAGCCGGAAAACTTTCAGATTCAGGATTCCACAGGTGTGCCAGTTTACTATCCAAATAAAGGTACCTTTGAGATATGTCTGTCTCAGAGTTATCGATTGGAATGGAGGTTTGCTGGAACGCTGATATCTTTATTTCTGACCTATCACTGAATTATAACTTATGGCTTTCCATCCAGCGTCTTTGAGCCTTACACCAGATGTTTGATTTTGATGCCGTGTAAGTCAATCAAGTCCTTTCCTTTGCTGATAGGACTGTGCAAAGTTGCACAGATGGTTTCTGTGCTATATTAGCATACTCCAAACCCTGACACCTGATTGGTCCACACAGACCGCGACCGGATTGGCTAACTGAACAGCCGTGATTGGTGCGCTAAGAATCTACTGCGATAGGCTGAGCCGATTGCGGGAGATTCAAAGCGCTGTCATTAGCCGCCAAGCCGCAGGCAAACCCTTTAAAAAGGATTGCCGCGGCTCCTATTCTTTGGATTGAAACATATCTAAATAAAGAGCTGAACGTTACTAAATGGTCTCGCGTCTCTTTGGGAACCGATCCACCCCGATCTAACACTGGCGACAAGGGTGGGATCGTGAGACAAGAGACCGACCAAGCATGTGGCGAAGTTGCACAGGACAACCGACAGCATGGCCAGCAGTACCTCGCCACCCGCACCATTCAACCCTGCTGCTGAGGATTGGGAATTTTACACCGACAGATTCCAAATGTTCCTAGAATGCAGCAACCTCAAGGATGCCAATGGCCAGAAAAAAAGGGCCGTGTTCCTGACACACTGAGGGCCCGCAGTGTTCAAGATGGCAAAACCAGCGGATGTCAAGGAGATGAATTGGGACGATCTCGAGCCCATACTACGGAACCATTATGCCCCTGCCGTGCCCATCCTCATCCGAAGGCACGACTTCTACCGGCGGGACCAGCGCGAAAGCGAGGGGCTCAGCGACTTTGTGGCGGCACTGAGGGACCTCAGGGGCCTATGTGACTTCACTGACTCGACGAGGCCCTGCGAGACCGCATCATCCCAGGAGTCCGAGACCCCGTCCTACAGAGCCGACTCATGGCAAAGGGCGACATTTCCCTCGCCGATGCCCTCGGTGAGGCAGCTGCTGCTGAAGCGACCCGAAAATCGGCGGATGTGGCAGGATGTGGCAGGCGAACACAGCTGACTGGCCGGCGGCCACTGAGATGACCCCAGCACCAGAGAAGCGCACAGAAACCGGCCATCGAGAGACCATCACCACCCACCATGGTGACATCGACTCCTTCTCGGATACCGAGGACGAAGAGGAGGATATTCACCGGCTCCAGACAGCCTGAGATTGCCGGGAACCGAGGGGACGTAAGTTGAGGTTCCAGTGTGCCGGCTGCGGAGGTGATCACCCCCATTCGGAATGCCGATTTCTCGATGCCATCTGCCGGCATTGCGAAAAGCGGGGGCACATCGCCAAGGTATGCTGGAACAAACGGAACTACAGCCCACGACGACGAGAGGACAGCCCCAGACGGCGAGATGGCACCCCCCCAAGGCCAGATACCACCACACAGAGATCCACTGGAGCCGGGATGGGCGGAGCAAGCGACTCAGCAAGGCAAGGCGGAGGGAGGAGACCCATCAAATGGTCGTCATCGGCCATTCCTCAACCATCGACGCCCGGAAAGTACATGTGGAGGTGGTCATCGAAGAGCAGCCATGTGAGATGGAGGTGGATTCCAGGTCCTACCTCTCCATGGTTTCCTGGCACACAATCAAGCGCCTGGTGCCCACCATCTGCCGCCGCGAGCTGGAAAGCCAGAAGCTAACCCTCAAGGACTACCAGGGAAACCATATCCCTGTAGTCGGAGTCGGACATTTTAAAATCACATTCAAGGGGCGTACGGAGGTGTTGCCGCTCACCATTGTTGACCGA